CGGGAACTGCAGGGGGAGGGCGGCGCGGGCCGCGGGAAACTGAGGCCCAGAGGTCCCGGAGGTGTGGGGGGCTGCAGGCCGGACGCGCTATCAGAAAGACTGACGGTCTCGCGCGGGTCTTGGCATCATTAATGTGTCTGGCACCAACAGCTATGAGATCTGTCCCGCAGCCTCATGCCCTGGGCCGACTGAGCAGGACATCTGGAGTTCCGGGCTAGCCTAGGCTACACGGTAACAGCCTGTGTCAAGCCAAAACGAGCAGCCACGGATGCGGACCGTGGCTCTGCAAACAGTAGGTAAGTAATGAAAGCCAGCCTGTGACGAGGACACTAAGGACGGGCAGGGGGATGACAGTGAAGAAGGGCAGAAAAGCTGACAGGAAGCAGACTCTTAGGCCTCAATTCTTGAGCCCTGGGATGCCCGCCACTATGTCCAGCTCACATTTTAAAATTGAAGTTCCTAGTGCCACAGACACTGTCTGGGCCCATGCTGTATGTCATTAAAATGGTGATATTTGCAGGTTGGTGGTGGCGCACGATTTTAGTCCCAGCATTCAGGCAGAGGCAGGCGGATCTCTGTGAGTTCAAGGCCAGCCTGGTCTACAGAGTGAGTTCCAGGACATCTGAGACCTATCTGAAAAAAAAAAAGTGATATTTTATTCATTGCAGATTTTGTGTGTGTCTTCATTTTAACTATGCAGTGAAATATTGGAAATATTGTCTATGTTGATGACTGAGTTTGCCCACCCCCCCCCAAGAGGACTGGAGGCAAGAGGATTAGAGGTTCAAGGTCATCCTTGGCTACATAGAGTTGGAGGCTGGGCTTCGTGAGTGTCACAAATAAAAGTGGCTGAGTCCTGTTCTCTCTCACACACACACACACACACACACACACACACACACACACACACACAAATAATTTTGAGACAGTTTCTCTCTGTAGTCCTGGAACTCACTCTGCAGACCAGGCTGGCCTTGAACTCACAGAGATTCTCCTGTCTCTGCCTCCCAGTGCTGGGATTTAAAGGTGTGAGCCACCACTGCCCAGGTAGAATTTATTTTTGTAAAAGAATTTATCTATGTGCACGAGTGTTGCCTGCACAGCTGTGCACGTGTGTGGTTGAGCCCCGTGTGGGTGCTGGGAACCGAACCCTGGTCTTCTGTAGGGGCAGCCGGTGCGCTAACCACTGACCTGTCTATCCAGTCCCCTATAATTTATTTTAAAGAACAGGAACGGAGGTCCAGCGCAGTGGATCCTTTGTGCAAGGTCACACAGTCAATGTCGATGCCACCATCATACTCTGCAGGGATCAGAGGCGGGGCAGGCAAGGCCCCTGGGGGTCATGGGTCATCTCTGAGTGGCAGGGAGTGTGGGAAACGCCAAGACTGGTCCTCAGACAAGCTGTTTCCATGGAGACCAGAGCAGGATGCTGGGAGCCCGGCCAGCCTCTGAGCTGTGAGAATCGCTAAAAAGCATTGAAAGGGGGACCTGGGCTCCTGGGAGCCTGGGCTGCGGGTCGAAGGCGGGGTCTTGCCGTCTGTCCTGCAGTTGTTATACAGCTGCTTCAGCATCAGCCTCTGGGGTATCGAGCTCGAGCTATCTCAATCCCCAACACAAACACGTGGGCGGGACCTGACAGGAGGCGAGCCAAACTGTCGCTGCTCCCCTCAACCCCAGTACCTTGTTGTCCCTAAAATGGCACCTGTTTGGGGACTCCTTCCCTGACACCTCCAATCACTATAGCTATGTTGCAGGAGAAAGGTGGCTGCTGGCCAGGGGAGACAGGCAATCACTTTCTCCTGGCCTTTGCTCACGCCCAGGTGAGTGGGCTGCTCTGGAACTCACCTCAGCTTCCGCTGCCCACAACCAGGACTGATCCAGTCTCTGGTGTGCTGAGCTGAGCCCCTGCTCCCCCTCATTGTGACAGGCACAAGCACCCCCAGGGCAGTCTCCCCCAACAAGGACCCCAACTCTGAGCATTCAAGGCAAGGGAGGGGCCACTCTTCCAGCTGCCAACTTTTCCTCCCAGGGTTCAGGGGAGCCAGGGAACCAGGCCCGGACCCTGCCAGCACCACGTCACCAGCCCCAACCTGTCTACCCTTCCCCACAGTCAGGGCTGGAACTGTGTCACTAGTGTCCATCTGCCCAGTCCAGCCCAGCCAGGGATTTATGGATGCCATTGACTTACAACCTCTTTGCTATTTAGTTTTTGAAGCAAGGCATCAAGTAGCCCAGGCTGGCCCCAAACTCACTGTGTAGCGAAGGATGACCCAGAACTGATCCTACTGCCTACACCACACCCAGTCTACAAGCCACTGTCTAAAAAGCTGTAGCCATTATGGTGATGCAGGCCTGTCACTCTAGCACCTAGAAAGCTGAGGCAGGATTGCCATGCCAGCTGAGATTGCAATGAGACCCTCTCTCAGAAGCAGAGGTCATCCAGCTGGTGCCTGTCACTGTGTGTCTGGGGACCCAGTTTGAATCCCCAGCATCAGTGTAAGAAGCTGGTGTGCCTACATGGAAGCCTAGAGCTGTGGAGGCTGAGGGCTTGTTGCTAGGCCTGACAGAACCCATAGGGAAGGAGAAAACAGCCGGCCAGTCACCCTGAGTCCACTGCACAAACACACATGGGCATTTGGGGACACTTGTAAGTTACACCCCCTGGAGTCCATGACCTGTCAGAGGTGGATACCTTTGCAGATTCCCAGACTCAGTCATTGTCGTGGTCCTCGCCCTATTGGGCTCCACTACATGTGGCCCAGGTGGAAGAGAGCCCACAAGTCTAGTTGTTTGCTCCCCTTTGATGGTCAGACATGAGCAACCCTGTCCACCATCTTGAGCTGACAGGGCCCCCAGCCTTACAGCAGTAGCTGAACTGAGGTTTGTTGACCGACAACAAAGCAGGGACTTGAGTGATGGGCCGAGCGTCTGGGCTCTGGTGTGAGCTTGACAGGGGTAGTGTTTGAAGTGATGGCCCCTCTCCCATGTCCCCAACCTCTTGTCTACTGAGAACCTATACAGTGCAGGAAGCAGTTTTGTCAGGATGGGAAGGGAGGGGCTGTGGTGGACGGCAGGGCCCTGGCTGATGCCCCCAAGTCCAGGAAAGCAACCATGGGCCCAGTGGGGTCTCAAGGTTCCTGAAGGCAGGAACAGCAGATGTTCCCTAGGACACCTGCAGGCACAGTCCTTCAATATGGCTTTTATTTTCTAACCTGCCAACTGTAGACCCCCAGCCACCGTCCCCAGACCTGTCTGGATACAGGGGGGCAGCACACGCCCTGTGTGCGTCTTTCCCAGTGATGGGGTGGCAGTGGTCTTAGACCTGTAACCAGCTGCCAGGATGAGAGTAGAGGGGGGCTGGACCCCAGCAGTCCATGGGGGTGAGAGTGCCAGGGCAGCAGGCCAGCCCCCCTCACCCCATGACACAAGTGCCACCAAGGGTGACAGCCATTGCTGCTGCAAGGCAGAGGCAGCACAGTGAGTCAGGGCAAGCCAGGCTCAGCAGGCGCTTAAGGGACGCCAGAGGCTGGCCCCAGCTGCCCTCCTGGCCTGACACCTCCTGGGTCATATTGCTATGGAATCGAATGGATTCACCGTGGGGTCCCTGAGGTGGACTGCCAGGGCTGACATCCCTTCCCTTTCCCTCCCTTGGCTCGTACCACAGGGCTGTCCTGGGACTGGCTGCTTCATGCCACTGTGACAGAGGAGCTGCCTTTCCAGAACGCATCACAGGCAGGGAAACTAAGCAGGGAGAGGAGGGGAGGGGGGGGGAAAGGGGGAGAAGGAAGGAGGGAAGACCTCAGGGCTGCAGGCTGCCACTCCAGCCACCTCCTGCCTGTCACCAGCACCTGGACTTGGGTGGAAGGGACATTTGCCAGAGGGGAGGAGGGCCTGGAACAACAGGGGGCTATAGTTGAGTGCTGGCCGGTGCCAGGAGAGGCAGCCTGGTGGTAGAAGCCTCTGAGGAGCTGTGGAGGCACAGGCTGCAGCGACCGGGCCACTGGAGAGGCCAGCATGGCATGTGGGCCTTCAGTGCGTGTGGCCCGGGTGACTGTTCTGTCCCAGTGGATTCATCTGCAGATGGGCGGGGCTCTCCTCCAGGAAGTTCAAGGAAATGGACAGGAAGAGGCAGGTCCCTGTGTCCTAGTGACTGACCGAAACCCTCTGCTTCAGTCTGGCGGCATGGGTGTGTGGGCCGGTCCCTCCTGGGCCACCTTTGCACAGCTGTTGTCACTGGGCCTTGGCCTTGAGCAGCAGCCTCTGCACAGTCTTGTACAGCACATGGAAGTGCTGGCGGAGGACACAGTACATTAGGGGACAGGCACTCCAGAGAGCCACCCTGCCCCAGGGTCCCTGCACAGCAGCTCACCTGGACGGCTGTGTACGCCAAGCCGAGGTATGCCCCAATGCACACGGCTAGCAGCAGGTCAAAGATGGCTGGCTTGACCCTGAGGGACAGTCCATGGGGTCAAGGACGCAGAATGGTTACCTGGCAGATCAAGGTCCCTTGGCTGCAGCCCACCACTCACCTGTATGCATTCATCACCTGCTTTAGCTGGTCATAGAAGACAAACTCGGGGTCCCTGCCAAGAGACAGCAAGCTCAGCGCCTCTCCCCGACGGATGCAGGAGCTTACTCAGACTATAGATCAACAGCTCAATTCAGAAAGCTAAAAATATTTTGTGTGTGTGTGTGTATTTGTTGTTTTTCAAGGTAGTGTTTCTCTGTGTAACAGACTCAAGAGTCCTGGAACTCTCCCTGTAGACCAGGCTGGCCTCGAACTTCTGCCTTGTAAGGACTGGGATTAAAGGCATTTGCCACCATTGCCTAGCTTGAAAATATTTTTGTAATGTCAAGAAGGGTACTAGAAACTTCCATGCTAACCCTTGTCCCCGTCTTCTGGCTTAACCTGTGTCTCCCTGGCTGGGGACCTGGTGACATGCCCAGCAGTTACCACTGTCAGCCAGCTGCTTACCGCTTGTCAGCCTTTACATGGTGCTGTCGGACGTCCTTCAGGTAGCGGCTCAGAAAGTGCTCCAGCGTACTCAGGAATGTCCCGTCCTTGTCCAGCAGCTGAGCAGCCCGAGGTTGGTTGGTGAGCCAGTCCATAACTGAGTCTAGCTGCTCCTGCTGGACCTGCTAGGGGCAGGTGCAGGCTAGGGTCACATAGGGGTCACAACAGAGGTCCCCGTGGCCCCACCCCATGCCCACACTGTACCATCTGCTCTGTGAACACTGGCATGTCCGGGGGCGTCCCCTGCAGAGGGAGGGAACAGGGTGTGAGGCAGCCCAGGAGGGCTGTGTGTACCACACAGACAGAGTTGGGAGGGCTGTGTGCACCACGCAGGGTCAGGACCAGATGGCTCACCTTCTCTGTCAGGTTATAGATGACGCGAGTTAGGGCCTCGGCAATGATCCTTGTGTTCCGTGTCAGGGTCTTAGAATCCACCCGGGACCTTAAGAACACAGGGATAGGTCCCTCAGACAGGCAGGGCCGTCCCAGTGCCTGGGCTCTGAGGATAGCTGGTGGCAGGGCCCAGGCCAGAGTGTCTGATCATGGTCACCAGGCAGGACAGCCAAGTCCCAATGTGGCAGGGGAGCTATAGGCGTGTTGTGGGGACAAGGCAGCAACTGTAGGGCCCAGGACACCCTTGAGGGCCCAAGATGCCCTGCAGGGAACGTTCATCTCAGGGCCTGGGAAGGGGTGGGCATGTGACATTTCTTCAATCAGCAGCCAGCCTGCATAGGTCCAGGTCCCTGTTCCTCACTCCTGGCTCCAGGTGTGTGACCAGCTGTTGGCCCTCCCACAACTTGTTTGACTCCCAGCCCCACCCCCACCCTGGACAAGTGCCCACACCCTGCTCCATGTGGTCAGACAGCTGTGGCCAGCCCATGGAATGTTCCAGAAGATGGCTCTGCTCCCCTTCAAGGAAGGTCACTAGTAGTGGCTTATGTCCCAGCCCAATTCTCTCCCTGCAAGGAGCTGAAAGGTGCCCCTAGAGAAGGTTCTACAAGGAAGCCCCAGAGAAGATCCTAGAACCTGACCCCCACAGCAGGTGCCACCACCCCTCCCCTTCCATGGAGGATTCGAGAAGGTGTTCCTCACAAGTTTTGAAGGCCGCTCTACCACAAAGTGCCCAATGGAAGGTGGCTCATGTCCGATACGGAAGCTCCTGTGGGTGGTTACACGCTCCCCCTCCCCCCACACGCCCAGCTCTGAGGGGACCTCGAGTCCCGGAAGCCGCATTCAAGGAGGTCCCGTCCCAGGCCGGCAGCTCACCGCACGTCCATGATGCTGCTGCGCGGTCCCGCACGGTGGCTCTCCAGGTGCGACAGTGTGAAGGCAGGCAGCCTGCGGATGGCGAAGCGCTCGTGCTCCCAGGCCAGCACATCGTCCGCCAGGTTGATCTTCTTGTGCACCATGGAGAAGCTGACGTCAGGGAACTGGTGTGCAGCCACCGTCTCCAGCTCACGCAGGAAGGCATGCTGCAGCGTCCCCTCCCGAGGAGGCTTCGACACATGGAGGCGCAGGTGGCTGCCTCGGCCCACGGTGTCCAGGCACAGCACAAAGGCCACGTTATCCTGCAGCAGGCTTGAGTCTGCAGGGCAGGCCTGCTTCAGGGGCGTGAGGACTCGCCCACCCAGACCCCACCCAACAGCCCGCCCTGCCATGCCCCGCCCACCCAGACCACACCCACATCAGGCTCCTCCTACTGGTCGGCCCTGTCATGCCCCGCCCACCTGTATGGTCCAAGCTGTCCTCCAGCCAGCGCTTGGTGCCCTGGTAGTTGAACTTGCCCCCTCCCGATGCGAAGAACAGGAGGTTGTACCTGCGGATGTGGTTTTATGGCCAAGCCGCAGGTGCCTGACTGGATGCATGGAAACCCCAGATCTCTCCAGACGGACCACTAGATAGCACCCTCCTACACCAGGCTGTGTGTCCCCAGATGTCCCAGAGGCCCCCAGGGGAGGCTGCCAAGGACACTAACATAGAGAAGCCCAGACTCCCACATCCCTGGATGCCAAGGACCAGCTGATGCACAAGGACCCTGAATCTCATAGGTGTTCTGCACCCTCACCTGCCTGGGAACCACAGCCAAGCTGCCCAGTGGGATGACACATAGGGCAGCCGCTGAGCCCAGGTTGTCCCTAGCCTGTATGGCTGTCTGGCCACTGTCACACAGGGCTGCCAAACCAGCCAGGACTGGTGCAGGCCACAGGGACAGACAAAGCTGGGGTAGGTAAGAACAATGCTGCCTCGTGGCTTTAAAGAAGGGTGCTCCCCTCATGCCGTGCAGGCACCTTTTGGAGGAGAGGAAGTGGAGAACCCGCACACAGCTGCCACCTCTCAGGGCTGCAGACTCACAGCCCAGGGCCACCCTGTGTGCCCTGGCTTACAAATGTCAATGCCACTCTCACATGGCCAGACCACATAGCTAATCTTGTGCGGTAGGCACCTCAGGACACCCGACTGTCACAACTGTGGGCTTGGAGAAGGTGGAGATCAGGGCCCAGGATGCCCCACAGAGCACCACTCAGGAGCGTCCGTAGCAGAGGGGAGAGACAGGCGGCAGCCACTTCTAGACAGTCCCATCCCTCCCAGGGACCAGAAGCATCCAGGTGTGGGGTCCCCTGAGGACTGCCCCCATGGTGGCACTCACGCTGCGTGTGTACGCTTGTACGTGTAGAGTCGAGAGAACAGGCGAGCCAGCTCCAGCAGCACTGAGATGCCACTGCCGTTAGAGTCGGCACCCAGGGACAGCCACTGTGGGCAGATGACCCATCAGTTACACCTCATGCAGGCCAGGCCCACCCACGAGAACAATAGGGTAGAAAGTAGACACAAAAACCCATGCCTTTAACCCCAGCTCAGGAGTTCTGAACAGCCAGAGCTTTCAGAGAGACAATCTCAAACAAAGGAAAGTCATGGGTGGTTGGGGCAGACTGCCCTCAGAGGCTCTGGCAACAGGCGGACAGGGCTGAGGCTTGGGGACCTGGTGGCACTGACACCAAGTGTAGTACTTTGCAAAAGGATGGCCCCCAGAGGGTCATGGGTCTGAATGCTTAGTCCCTAGAATGGCACAACTTGAGAGGGTTAGGAAGTGATGCCTTTGGCGCACGTCTTTAATCGCAGCACTCGGGAGGCAGAGGCAGGTGGATCTCTGTGAGTTCAAGGCCAGCCTGGGCTCCAGAGCGAGTGCCAGGATAGGCTCCAAAGCTACACAGAGAAACCCTGTGAGAGGAAGTGTGTCACTGAAGGTGTGCTGTGAGGTAGCAAAAGCCCAGGCCAAGCCAGGTCTGTCTGTCTGCCTCTCTTGGTCTGCACATCAGGATGTAGCGATTAGCTACTTCTCCATGACACACCTGCCTGCCACCATGATGGATAATGGACTCTGAAACTATAAGCAATCTTTTTAAAAGAATTGCTGCAGGTGGTCTGGTCCCACCCTGCCTCACCTGATGCTGTGGTGCCTGGGGCAGTTGGCAGCCACTGCCTTGCTGTGCCAGGGAGGTATCCCCAACCCTCCCTGGCCCTACACACCAGGTACTTACCGGGGCCACCCCAAAGGCATCGTAGTGAGCGACAATGACAATGGTGGGGAGGTCCTCACCCCCCAGCCCTGTCAGCCGTCCCTGTGGAAAAACAGGGATGGATTGATGGATCCCAGATGTCCAAGACAGCCTGACTGTGGTTCCCAAGGGTCACTCTGGTGTGCAGTGAGCACCTGCAGCTTTATGGTCCCCAGTTCCCTCCCCCAGGGCAGGCACAGGGCCATGATGATGGCTGGCAGACCCCTAACAGACAACAAGGCCACAAATTGCTTGGCCCAGGATAGGGGTGCACAGTGAGGCCGCCCCTACCCAAGGCCCTTACACGCCTGCAAGAGCCACAGTTTACCTCACCACACCAGCTGTCGGAATGCACCAGATGCCTCCTATCGCCTGCACGTCAGGCTAGCCCAGTTGTCCTACAGCTCTGAGTACCCTGACCCCAGAACCCCAAGTGTGGGGCTTTTTTTTTTTCTTTTATTAAAAGAACAGGGTCTCCTGTGTTCCAGGCCAGCCTTAAACTTACTACATAGCCAAGGATGGCCCTGCACTCCTAATCCTCCTGCCTCAGCCTTCTAGATGTGTGTTACCAGGCTTGGTTTATGTGGTGCTTGGCGAGGGCTGCTCGCTGAGCCACCACCATCTCCTGCACATGGCAGAGGCATGACTGGACCTTGAGGATCCAGGCATAGGCTATGCAAAGGCCCTGGAGCAGGCTGGGGAGTAGCACAGCAGACACTCACCTCTACGCTGGTGATCAACCAGTCGCTCACCGCCTGGCTCTGGGCTCCGCTGGTTACCATTTGGAAACCATTGGCTGTGGCCGTGTGCAGCAGCACTGGGGACAGAAGGGGATGAGTCATTTGGGCCTATGGCCAGGGCCACACAGAGGCCATGACAGCCCCAGCCATGGACACAGGAACACACCACACCCTCTGGTAGCCTGGTTCACCTTCAGCAGCAGAGGCAGAGCCCTGGGAGGCAGAGGCAGCCTGGGTCTGCTCATAGATGGACAGCAGAGCCTCATCCTCCACAGCAAAGTACACAGGGACCACGGTCTCCATAGCCAGCATCTCAGGCTCAATCTCCATGAATTGCTGTGGGGAGCACACGCATTCAGGGGATCACAGCCTCCCCCAGAGCGGCTCCCCCATCTCAGTGTCCTCAGGGACATGTCACCTTCTTCTGGGCTCAGAAAGGTAAAGCAAGAGACCCAAGGACACACAGCAGATGCAACCTGAGGGGCAGGGATGGGGGTGGTGGTATGGGCTCACCCGGACAACATCCTGGGGCACCGCAGCCATGGCTCGGGGCAGGATGATGACCACAGCACCAGCTGACTGTCGCAAGGCCTTCTGGTAGTGCTCATAGGAAAAGTCCAGAAGCCGCATAAGCACACAGCGTCGGCTCAGCACATCCGCGTCCACTGTGCGTGCCTCTGTATTGAGCACTGCATTCCGAGTGCCTGTGGGGACACAGGGTCACAGCATCACAACCCAGAGACCCCACAACCATTGTAGCTGCCAGCTGCGTGGACGCCCTCTGGGCCTCTATGCCAACACACAACACAGGCTTAGGGGTGTGGCTCTTGGGAGACAGGCATGGGACACCTGCCACACAGTCACTGCTTGGGCCAGAGATGAACCACCATGGATCTCAGGCACAGTGTGCAGCTCCCTCCAGGAACCACAGTCCCCTGGGGGGTCCTAGGACCCATTTGCAGCCAGACTTGGTGCATACAGCAGATGCTTCATAAATGTTCAAGTACCCCAAGGGTGACAGCAGGCAGTGCCCCTAGACACACATGGCCAAGAGGCGGCAGTGAACGACATCACAGATTGAGAGTCACAGCTCAGTGAAGAGGGGACTTGATCACGGTGGGGTGTCCTGGGTGGTCAACTACGATGCAACCTTCCTATACCAGAGGCCCAAGTGTCAAAAGCACGGAGTAGCTGGGCCTAGGATAGTTCATGTGTGACCACCCCCCAGTCATATGGGGTGAACTACACCCCAAGGCAACAGCTGGATGGGAACCTGATGCTCACAGGCTGAACCCCCACAGTCCATTACCTGAACCCACAGGGAGCCTCAGGTCCAGGGTCAGCTGAGGCCTGGCCCTCACTTTCCAGGAATGCAGAGTCTGGGAGGTGGGGTTGGGGCCTGCCAGGGACAACAGTCCTGGAAGCCAGCATGGGCTAGGACCCCACAGACACCCTGCTGCCTCCAGGGTCTCACCCTACACCTGTGGGGACCCTAAAGGGCTCTTCCTTCAGGTTCCTACAGTGTCCCCCCAAAGGCCAGGAGCTACGGCAGGGCAGCACTGTGCACCTGGCTCTGCTCCTCATGGGGACACAACATGGGGCACCAGTGGGTAGTGCTGGCCAGGTACCAGTCCTCAGGACTTCCCAAAACCACCATGCTCCCGCTAGGTGGGTGGCCAGGCCCCTTATGACCTGGCCTGTGACCAACCAGGGTTACAGCCCTCTGCAAACATTGTTCAGTAAAGGGCGGCCATGAAGGCAGGTGTACACTCAGCAGGCTTCTCCCTGTGGTTGGTTGCTCAGCTTGGTGCCTGTGCCTGAGTGTCAATAAAACTTTATCCACAAGCCTCAACAGTTGGCTCCAGTCTTGTGAGGGAAAGATGGACCTCAGGGCCATCAAGTCACTAGGGAGGCCGACAAGACGCCAAAGTCCTGTCCCCTGCCCCACCATGACAAGGCAGGTCTTAAGAAGGCCAGAGTCCACAGCAGGAGGGATGGTGGCCTTGGTCACACCCTACCACAAGCCTCCCTTCTCGCTGATGTCAGTTATTTCTCAACAAGACCCAGCGGAAGTTGGGTAAGGGGATCTGCAGTGGAGCTGGGGAGCAGCTTGGGGCTGAGGAAACCCCAAGGAACTTATGACCAGGGTTTCTTATGACCTGCTCTGGCTGGCTGCCTCATCATGGGCCCCCAGGGGTGCAGAGAGGGTGCAGGAACCCCATAGGGAGAGAAGGCCATATATCAGGCAATACGGTCCACTCAGAACACAAGCTTATTCACACCGCAGCCCACCTGAGGGGTTGACGTAACCTGTGGGTATGAACTGGGTCCGGCATGAGTGGTCTTGGACCTGCCCTCTGGACCATGGATGCTCTGGAATGACTCCAGGAGCTGAAAAGCTATGCTACCCAGCTTGGTAGCCACTGGCTACATGTGGCATCTCGGGTGTGTCCCCAGCCACTCAGTGGTACCCACTGTGGACAGTTTTGCTGGTGACGATTCAGAAGATACCAGGCCACAAGGGACTATACCACTGGGGACACCTGACCACCCAGGATGAGACCTTCACCCTACCATGCTCTGGCTGCAAGGCGTCGGGCAGCCACCCTGACTCTACCCCAGTCCAGACTCCCCAAATAGGAGCAAGGACAAGGCCCCCAACGTGGCAACGTTCCTTTAAAGAGAAATAACATTGTTCTGGACACAAGGGCCCATGGGGTCTGCAGAGAGGCTGGAGTGCAAAGACCCAGGCTGGCACATGCTCTCCGCAAGGGGTCCCCCGGCCTTGATGCTCAGGGTCACACTGAGTATTAAGGCTGGAAGGCCAGATACCACAGGCAGGAAAAGGGGGGCTTTGAGAGGCCCGAGACCCAGGCGTGAGGACAGAGACCCCAGGGAACCCTAGCGAGGGGCAGGGAGCAGAGCAAGGGGGGGGGGGGGGGGGGGGGGGGGGGGGGGGGGGCGGGGGGGGGGGGCGGGACGGGGGGGGGGAGGTCTGGGGTAACCGGTGACGGGGAGTCCAGGAGAGGCGGGAATCTGACAGGGTGACAGCAGGGGGCTGAGGGGCCAGGGCGGGGTGGGGTTGCCAGGAAGGGAGGAGATCGATCCGATCGCAGTGACTGGGGGCAGGGTCGGGGTCAGGGGTCGCGCACCGTACGGCTGGCCCTGCAGGTCATACTGCTGCATGCGGTACACGGTGAACTCGTGCGCGGCGTCGGCGGCGGGCAGCGGCGGCGCCACGAGCAGCAGCACGGCGGGCAGGAAGACGATGAAGCCGAGCGGCAGGCACGACGCCTTCAGCACGTTCTCCAGCACCTCGCCCGCTTCCTCCAGCATCCCGGCGGGCGGCAGGCCGCAGAGGCGGGGGCTGACGGCGACTGGAAGCGGTCGGGGCTTCGCGGACTCAGCTCGGCATGGGCGGCCGCTGAGGTCCTTCGGGCAGAGGCAAGAACAGCCCGCGCCTGCCCGAGGGTCCTTCGGGCAACGCTGCGGACCTCTCTGGGCGCCGCGCGGCCTGCCGGGAAATGTAGTCTTTCCGGTGAGTGAGCGCCGCTATAAATGGCCCCAGCGCGCGCGGGGGGGGGAGTCCTGCACACTGCGACTCGCGCTAAGGCTTCTCCGGAGCTGTGGGAGTCATTGAGCGCGAAGCACCCTGGGAGTTGTAGTCCCACTGCGGCGCTCCCGGAACGAAGCTCTACCTCTACTGAACTCATAATTCCCAAGTTGTAAGACTCCTACAGTTCAAAAAACTATTCAAAATGATTTTCAGGAAAGTTTGCTTAAGCCGTGTGTTTGGCTTCGTTACTGGGAAGAAAGATCAAAGCCTAAAAGTGCAGAACGTGCCCTTGCGACCCGGAAGGAAGTAGGGGAAACATGAGAAAGTGCCCGGCTGGTACCTTCGTTCTCCTGGGAATTGTAGTCCTGTGTGACAAGCACAAAGGATTATGGGGACTGGAGTCGTTCTGTGGGGTCTGAAAGGGGTGGGGGTTAAAAGACGCAAAAAAGCAGATGTGAAAGTTTCTTGATGGTGCCTAGAACCCCAGTCACAAGATGTGGCATCCGGTGGGTGTCTGCAGGGTTCTGAAGCGAATGAATGAAAAGACGGCTAAAAATTAACAAATAAAGTTCGGGACAGGTGGTCAGGTTAGCTAAGGCAGGAATTGTCGTGGGCTTTAGTGACAGTGGGGAGATTGTTACCTCGGTAGTGGAACTAATGTGATGGCGGGGATGTCTTTATTATCCCTGTTCATATTTGGGATATAGTTAACCTAAAATTTTTGGTTTGCCTATTGTAAATTCAAATTTAATTTCTGAGTACCCAATATTGCTATGGATTTGACCAGTCCCAGGGACTCCAGTTAGGATAATTTAAGGTGTGAATTAAAACTATATGTCACTCACACCTCTAGGACTACAATAAACAAGAAATAAATGACCAAACACTGCCACCCACCCACCCTCAGACGCAGGTAAGAATTCAATATTGACTTTGAGTAAGGTATGCAGTAGGAACCTGTGGAGAACTTGGAGACAATGTGTTCTCTGATGGCCTTAGATGAGAAAGCAGAGACTAAGACTCAGACTGTTGGCCTTGTCCTCCAGAGTGGCATTTGTCTGCCGCTGAATAGCAGGCCCTATGCTAAGAACCAAGGCTACAACCCATCAGAGTTAAAAGTGCAGAAAGCCAACAGATGTGTGCCAGGACCTTGAATTTCTCCCATCCAGAAGGGAGCGACAATCCCTGCCATCCTTAGCATCACTGTCAGTCGGACTTGCTACAAAACTGAGAAACCGAATGTGTAGGTTTCCTTCATTTTAATGAATCTTACACAGTCATGCTTGGCTCGTGGCTTCGTTATCCAGTCCACAGTCCCCTGTCACAGCACATCACCGTGACTCAGAAACGGAAGGGTGAGGCCATCGGGTTACAGGACCAGGTCAAGATATTGCCCCAGACCCGGCATGGGTGGGTCTGTTCTCACCACGTAGATGATAAGCTGAACTGGAGGCCGGGGGGGTGGGCTGCCTGTCCCAATGGGGAATCCCTTTGGAGAGGGGTGGTTGACTTGTATGTCCCCCCAGCTCCACTAGTTCTTACAACGTATCAGTAAGGTGTCTGCCTGCCCTCAGACAAACGGGCAGGTGCCCCCATCTCAGCATACCCCCAAGCACTGTGTACCACTGGATGTGACAAGGTGATGTGTTACAATAGCCCCCCCACCCGACACGCACACACGTGCCCTGTCCTGTAGGTGAACTCAGTCATGGAATGTCCCCTTCACCTCCTCAGTCCAGAAGACTGAGGTCCAGACCCACCAGATCTGGCTCTGGTCACTCTCTGCTCTGCCAGACATTCAGCATGGGTAGGCTTCGTGGACAGCCCCTGGGACCTGCTGTCGTGTTCCCTGTCACAATCAGGCCAGGATTGTGTCCGGTCCCTTCTCACCTCTCCCGAGAGGGCCTGTGCAGCACTTGTTCTGGCAACAGGTGGGTCCAAGCTCTAAGTGCTCCGGACACTCGAGATGCTGGACAGCGGTTCTCGCATCTTGAAGCTGAGTGATCTGGAAGCCCGAAAACTGTCCCTGGTCCTCAAGGAGCTGTCGGTGGTGGATGCACCAGAGTGGACCTCGGTGATCCGGATCAGGCAGTCATCAGGACCCCGCAGGCCTAACCAGAGACAGCTACAGCAGAGGAAGGCCAGCACTGCCCGCTGCACCTCGCGGCTCCGGAAGGAGTAGATGAGGGGGTTGATGGCAGAGTTGAGTACGGCCAGGGCCAGGATCCAGTCCATGCCACGCAGGTACTCCTGGGCCCAGATGTTGGAACCGAAGATGTCGGCCAGAAGCAGGCCAAACAGGGGACCCCAGCACACCACAAAGGCCACCAAGATCATCAGCACCGTGTTGAGGAGCCGACGGGCCTTGCGACGGGCTGGAGCACGCGGGGACTTCTGCCCATTGGCCCGGACCACCCTAAAGATGGCCCCATAGAGGCCCAGGATGGCCACCAGGATGAGGGCGAAGACCACCACACAGAAGAGCACGTAGCCCTTGGAGTAGAGGGGCAGCAAGCTGGAGCAGCGTGGGAAAGCACACACGCAGTTCCAGCCCAGGAGGGGCAGCAGACCCAGCGTGGCTGCCAGCAGCCAGCACAGCCCGATGCAACCATACACGCGGCTGGTCTTGGTGGCCCCGCTCTCGGCCACCCGCACCATGGTGGCGAAGCGCTCCCCCGCCGTGAAGAGCAGGCTGAAGGTGGATGCGGCTAGGGCCATGAAGAGCAGGCCCTCCCGCAGGAACCAGTGCGCAGGGGACAGCTGGAAGGTGCGGGCCCCCGACAGCAGCACGTTGACCAGGTAGGCCAGGCCGGTGAGCAGGTCGCTCAGGGTGATGTTGAGCAGGCAGTAGTACACCCAGCGGTGCGACCGCATGCGGGTGGCAATGGCGGCCAGCACCACCGCGTTCTCCAGCACCACCAGGCAGCCGGCCGCCACCGACGGTCCCCGCAGCATCCCCAGCCCACCACCGTCCTCCGGGCCCCCGCGGCCGGCCAGCCGCCCACTGTGGTTGTAGTGCAGGACGATGAGGAGGCTGTGACCGCTGGCTGCCAGCCGGTGACAGGACCAGGTGCTGATGTTCATGGCCTCCCCCGGGGACATACTGACAGAGGCCCCTGGCAGGGTGGAGTTGCAGCCTGGTCTGGGTTTCCTGTTGTTTGAAATTTCCTGTTATGTATGCTCAAGGTGCCCCTGGGTGGGTGGGGGTGAGGCTAGGGCAGGGAGGGGCATCCTGAACAACGGTTGAGGGGGACAGGATGAACTCTCTGGCACCCACCCCTGCTTAGTGCCCCCCAGTGTCCCGAGGATGGGAGACAGTGCACCGGGAGGGGGTGTCATGTCACTGCAGGGCAGTAGGCACTGCCTAATGCCTGCCCAGGCCCAAGAACCAACTGTTTCCCAGCCTGCTTTATACGCAGCAGGTGTTTACTAAATGCTTGTCACCCGTATACAGAAGGTCCATCATAAATGTTTGTCACTTGTGTGCAGCTGGGTAATGTCACCCAGACACACTGAGTACCACTCGTGCACAGCAGGTGCTTCAGAGTTTTTTTAAGCGTTTGGTACACTTACTTGTTTATGGCATGTAGGGACGTGCACACGCTGGATCAGGGATGGACCTGTGGGACCATGTGGGTCCCAGAACTGACCTCTGGTCCTCAGGACTTGGCCTCCAAGTGCCTTTGCCCACGGAGCCGTTCACTGGTGCTTAACCAGTGTTTGCTATGTGTACACAGAAGGTGTTTTTGTTTGTTTGTTTGTTTTTGTTTTCGAGACAAGGTTTCTCTGTGTAGCTTTGGAGCCTACCCTGGCACTTGCTCTTAAGACCAGGCTGGTCTCGAACTCACAGAGATCCGCCTGCCTCTGCTTTCCGGGTGCTGGGATTAAAGGCTGCGCCACCAACGCCTGGCCAGAAGGTATTTAATAAGTGTGTGCCTTTTGCAGAGAGTGAAACAGCACAGCCTTTAATCCCAGCACTCGGGAGGCAGAGGCAGAGGCAGGCGGATCTCTGTGAGTTCCAGGCCAGCCTGGGCTACATATTAGAGAGACCTTGTCTTAAAACAACAACAATAATAATAAATGTGTGCCACCCATACAGAGTAGGTGCTTAATTAATGTCACCCAGTGGGGAAAAGAGAAGTCACCCACTCACACCAGGCTTGACAAAATTTTGTTATTGTGCTAGGGATGCTCAATAAACGTTTGCCGCCCTTCCACACACTGCAGGTGGTTAATAAATGTCACCCAAACACAACAGGCACCAAATCAATGTGCAAGAACACCGACTAAAGAGGGATTTTGTCAGCTTTTGCTAGGAGGGGAAACTGAGGCGGGCAGGCTGCTGTGAGCTACCTGGTTGTTTACATCAGGGCCCTGGGCAGGGGACGATGGAGTCAGAAGCTGAGGAAGGGTGGGGAAAGGGGTCTCCCTCAGGGGCTGGGATGGCTGTGATCCGAGACCCCGGCCTGTGGGTGTCACCAGCCCCACTCCCCCACCGCCAGCAGGCCTGAAGGGGTCCGGTGTACCTCTGGGGGTGGGGTTCCAGGAAGGGTTGGGCGGGGAGTGGGCAGGGACCCCACTTCCGTCACCACCGCCAGGGGGCCACGTGGGAGGGGCCGAAACAGGGCGTGACCGAGCTGGGGTGTCAGTCACCCTGGCTGAGCCATAATCTGAGCCAGACCAGGAACCCAGCCCGGATCCCACCTGTGCAGGGCTCTGCGCCCCTCGTCCTGACTCTCTGCATCCTATGCTGAGCCCTGCTAATCTGGGGGCCACACCCTGGTTGAGACCTGGTTCTCAGGGACAGCCACGCCCCTGCTCCAGCCTCATGCAGAAGCTCAAGTCAGCACTGAGGTGCTGTGCCCGGAGGACTCAGCAGCCCTGCAGTGACCAAGCCCCTGATGTTATGAGGCACGCGCACCCCACAGCAGGCATGGAGTCATGTAGCAGCTCCTAGTGCCAGCGCCGATGCGGCCACGCCCCGGATAAGCACTGACCACAGGGTTCTAGGCCCCTGTGTTGAAGACAATTTCCCCAGCTGCTGTGCATAGATCAAAAAACCAGCGGCAGAGTGGGGCTCCGCATTCCCCAGACTCTGGCTTCCACCCCCAGCACCTGGATGAAGTCATGCTGTGTCCCAGGGTGGAGTACTATGCAGCCGTGCAAAGGGACATGCGCCAGGAGCTGCCGAATGGACTCAGTCGGTAATGTGCCACCGTGGGACCCACATCTGCGTCCCAAGACTCCCGAGAACAACCGAGCTGTAACCCCAGGGCTGGGGCTCGGTTCTACGCCCCCGTCTACTGTGGTGATGTCACGGGGTTGGGCGTCTTCCTTGGTCGCTCCCCACCCTGTATGAGGCAGGGGTCTCTCGGAGAACCTGCCAGCCCGCGCTGCCCCCGATCCCCCAGCGCATGACAGGTACACACCACCGTGCTGGCTTCTAGTTGATTCTGGGGACTGCAACTTGAGTCTTCCTACTTCACTTTGTACACCGCCCCCAGCCTCTGGCCCAGATTTGAAGTTGTCTGAGTGCAGTGGTCCCTGCCTGGCTCAGATCGGGGGACCGTGGGGACACTGAGGACAAGAAAGTTGCAATCCTCCTGCCTCAGCCTCCCGACTTCTGCTGCTGGGACAGTAATTTCCTCCACGCCTCATTTCCTGCTCCTTTGTGGTTTAATTGAATTTATTTCTTTGTGTGGGTAGCTGGTGTCACCACCATGCCTGCCAGGGGGTTCAGAGGACAACTGCCACTCAGTCCCTGTGCCCACTCCGTCCCTGGTTGTCAGGCTTGGCAGCCAGCGCCCTCACAGGAGGCAGTCACCTCGCTGCCCCAGTGTCCCTTTAGTAAGGGTGGAGGGACCAAGCCCACAATCGTGTGACGCAGCGCGCAGTAGTGTGGTGGCTGGAATACGAGGGCGGAGGGCTCCTCACAGCTGTGGATAATGCCAACACTGTCTGAGGTGGCTGTCGTCTACCTCAGGCCCACGACTGGGCAGACAACAAGTAGAATTTCCTGTCTTCGCCCTTACACCGTCACCGGTACCTCAGGGTGAAGACCGCACTGGGAGATGTGGACAGGACCCCTGGACAGGTCCTCAAAGCGCTTCTCTCTGGTCTTGTTTTTCGAGACAGGGTTTCTCTGTGTAGACTCTTTGTTTTGGGACACAAGGTTTTACTAGGTAACCCTGGCCGTCCCGGAACTCGAAGACATCCTCCTGCCTCCGCTTCCCGAGTGCGGAGGGTGGGGGGTTCAAGCCCTGACTCCTGTACTTTCTCCAAGAGTTAGGAGAGCAAGGGGATGAAGGAGCCCTCCCCCGGGGCGCCCGCGGGGCCCCCCCCCCCCCCCGCCACGACCGCGCCCCGCGGGACGCCCGGGCCCCGCCCCGCGGGTAAACTGAGGTCGGGCGGGCTGTGTCACAGCAGGTTGATCTCGTCCAGGTACCGGGCCAGCACCGAGTCCCGCACGTCCTTGAACACGCTGCGGACGCTGTGCGTGTCCGTGGCACAGGTGAAGTGTGCGAAGAGGCGGCGCGCGCGGGACCCCTTCCTGCCGCCGTCGTGGGGCTCTGCGCAGCCTGCGTACACGCGCGCATACATGTCCATGATGAAAGTCTTGGCGGCCTCGGCGTCCCGCCGGGGACCTGCGGAGACGGGTGGGGTCAGCTCAGCTCCTCTGTGTGGCCCAGGCTGGCCTCCGGGTCACACTGTAGCCCTGGCTGGCTTCAAACTGCTGATGCCTTTCCCTCCACCCCCCCACCCCCCCGCGCTGGGGACTGCACCCTGTGACAGCCCTGAGGGGCCCAGAGCCACTCCTGCCAGCGAAGGCAGTGATGGTGTGAGGAGGCGCAGCTTGAGGGCCTCCTGCACTCACTCTGGGAATGTGTCCAGAGACCTGGGTTTTCCACTCATGTGCTCCTCCCCACGCACTGCTATGTTCTTGGGAAAAGTGGAGGTCACATGGGGAGGGGAGAGACTCTGGGTGCAAGCAGTGTGGGTTCGAATCCCACTTCCAGGGCAGAGGGGATGCTGTCTGGGTAAGACTGCTTGCTGCCAAGCTTTAGGACTTGAGTTCAAATTCCAGCACAAGGGTAAGATGCTGAGCATGGCTGCACACGTACAGGGATGGAGAGGCTCAGGTGAGGTCTCTCCCGAGGGAATGAGGCAAAGACAGACAGCAGGACCAGGCAGCCTCCCCTGTGGCTCCCACCTGTGCCAGTTCCTCACTGGCTTGGCTAGCCAGTGACTGTATCTCTCTGTGCCTCAGTTTCCCTATCTCTGCATTGGAAGATGTCCTGCTCTACACAGTTGTTTTGGTTTTTTTGTTTTGTTTGTTTTTTGTTATTTTTTGTTTGTTTGTTTTGAAACAGGATTTCTCAGCTTTGGAGCCTATCCTGGAACTCGCTCGTGTAGTCCAGGCTAGTCTCGAACTCACAGAGATCCACCTGTCTCTGCCTCCCGAGTGCTGGGATCGAAGGCGTGAGTCACCAATACCCAGCGGATGTTTTGGTTTTTAAATGAGTTATTGGTCCGACTGGAGTGCAGCAAGTTTTCCTCTAGTACTCTGTGGGTGCATGCAGGCACAGACACAGAGGGCGGTCTCTGCTGTAGCCCTTTTCTGAGACTTGGCCTCATTGATTGACCTATGCCATCTGTCCCAGGAGCCCCAGGTCCTCCCATCTGTGCACAGTGCCCAGTTACTTATGTTGTTGGGATTCAAACTCGGACTCTGATGCTTGCCGAGTCAGGTAACTGTCGCTCCAGCCTCAAGTTTCCAATGTTTTGTTTCCCCCAAAAGTCAGGGTTTCTCTGTGTAGCCCTGGCTGTCCTGGAACTCACTCTGAAGACCAGGCTGGCTTTGAGGTCCTCCTGCCTCTGGGATAAAAGACATGTGCCACCACCACCACCTGGCTTTCTTATTTTATTTTATTTTTCTGGCAATACTGGGGATTGAAACCAGGGTCTTGGGCTGGAGAGATGACTTAAGAGCACTGGCTGCTCTTCCAGTGACCCAGGGTTCAATTCCCAGCAGCCACCTGGCAGCTCACAGATGCCTGTAACTCCAGTTCCAGGGGATCTGACACCCTCACACCAATGCACATAAAATAAAATGAATTATTTAAAAACAAAGAGACTATTAAAAAAGAAAGAAAGAAAGAAAGGAACCAGGGTCTCTTACTTGGTGAACAAGCACCCTGACATCAAGCTATTTCCGTCTTTAAACAAATAACTGAGAAAATTGTCAGAAAGCAAAACATGGAGAAATGTCAGAGGTACATTAAGTTGTGTGGGGGTGGTGGTGGTGGTGGTCCTGTCTGTGGTGTTTGCATGAGAATGCTCCCAGCTGGAAACTGTTTAGGGAGGATGAGAGAGGTGTGTGTCCTTATTGGAGGGGGAAGGGGGTGTTTCCTTATTGGAGGGTGTGTCCTTGTTGGAGGAGACATGACTATGTTAAAGGAGACTTGTCACTGATTTTGAGAGTTCAAAAGCAGACCCCAGCTCCCCACCAAGGCCTAGTTTCATCTCTCTGTCTGCTGTCTGCAGATGAGGGTGTGAAGCTTTCTGCTCCTCCAGCATCATGCCTGTCTGTTTCTCCACCATGACGACTGCAGCCTAACCATTCTCTGAAATGGTAAATAGGCCACTGATACAATGCTTCCTTTGTAAGAGTTGCTGTGGTCATGGTGTCTCTTCACAGTGCAAGAACAGTGACCAAGTCACTGGCTCAACCCTATGTTGAAAACAGTCTTTCAAAATCACCTGTTTTCCCTTCCCAGACTCTTCCAGGCTACAGCTTGGTTCTCAGGACTCCTTGGCTAAGATGGAGCTAGGGGGCTGGAGAGTGACCAGAACTTCATAACTGTCATTCTTTGAGGGCTATGACAGAATGGCAGGGTCTGGGGGCTCTTGGCTATTACAGAGCCAGTGGTCAAATGCTGGCACCAGAGGTCACCAAAGTTGAATTTGAATGACTTTTGACCTCGTGTCAAGCATGGACACAGCCTGAACCATGGCTGGGTAAAGGTTGAGGTAAAAGTGTCCCCAGCACCTTGACTGTTCTGCATTGCAGATTGTGGCCTGATCTGGAGTGGGTGTTCCATGCTGGCTGATTTCAGATCTCCTGTCTCCTAAGCTGTCAGGAGATTCACTTCTGTTGGTTTAGGGCCCTGACTGAGTACAGTCCTCTGTCACAGCAACTACAGGAGACTAGGGAGCCTCACACCTCCCCCCCCCACCCTCCGAGGTCAGGTAGAGCAGCTCCCCATCTTGTTGAACCTGGGTTGGTCCATCAACTGTGATGGATGCAGTGGGCATCCCTGAGGCTTGATCAATATAGATGCCCTCCCCCTACGTGAACATCTGGCCACCCAGGGTCAGCCACACTGTGAGGGTGACAGCAAGAGGGGAATGGTGAGGGGGTGGGGAGCTGACTCCCCAGTGCACACAACACAGGACTCCTAGGAGAAGGCATGCAATGAAGTCTCTCTGGTCCCTGCCACCTGGCCTAGCTCGGCTATCTGATCATTGGGCTGGGAGGGGTGGTAACTCCTTTAATTCCTGCACTCCAGAGGCAGACAGGCCTCAGAGTTACAGACCAGCTTGGTCTACAGAGTTGTTGAAGGCCAGTCAGAGCTACACAGTAAGACCCTGTCTCAAAAGACAGAAAGGAAGAAAACTAAATTCCTGACCATGAGGTCTTGAGCTAGGCAAAATGGCCCCTTCAAGCCAGAACCCTTGGGATGGTTTCTCCCAACAGAGCAGACCCTTCTACCTTGGTGCCATCCTGCCCTCCAAAAGTCCACCACCCTTCCAGGAAGGGTCTGAGGGAAGTAAACAGTGGTCTCCACCTAGCTGCTTTGGGCTGGCCTTGCTTTGTGAAAGGTGAGCTTCCAATATTTTGTTTATGTGTTTCATATATGTCTGCATTAATATTCAGTGTAATGAAGATGGTGGTGGCGCATGTCTTTAATCCCAGCACTTGGGAGGCAGAGCAGGTGGATCTCTGGGAGTTCCAGGCCAGCCTGATCTACAGAGTGAGTTCCAGGACAGTCAGGGCTACACAGAGAAACCTGTCTCAAGAAACAAACAAAAACAAAGAAACAAAAAAAAGGAAGAAAAGAAAAGAAAAAATTGGATGCTACCAAAAGAGGGTTGGTGGAACTATGAAAACTCCAGCACAGAACAGAGGTGGGGATCCGAGGTACAGCCCAACCTAGAATCCCCCAGTGAGGGTCTGGGGTGTGGTCAGGGTGGAGCCCCTGACTTCCATGTTCAAAGCACTGCAGCCTCCACCTCTATGAAAACAGAAATGGAGTTTTTTGTTTGTTTTCTGAGACAGGGTTTCTTGTGTAGCCCTGGCTGTCCTGGAACTTGCTCTGTAGACCAGGCTGGACTCTGTAGACCAGCTCAATAACCCTACTGCCTCTGCCTCCCGACTGCTTGGACTAAAGGTGTGCTCCACCATTCCTGGCTTAGAAATAGTTTTTTTTTTTTAATAGAACTTTCATTCATCTGCTATGAAAGTCACCTTAATCTCCATTCCACAGAGAGAGGCTCAGGCTTATG